GCCATAAGAAGTTGTAAAGTATTGAATACCAGCTAAGTCCTCTTTAATACTTAACCCTCTCCCTCCAGTCTCTTGCCAATTTCTTTCCCCATTTTCTGAATGGAATTGAGGGAACAGCTTTGGCTCTCCCAGGCTTGGTTCTGAACCTCTGTGTTCAGAAAGGACTCTGCTTCACTCTCATAGATCAAGAACAGGACTGACCAGGAGTCTGGTGGCAGCAGGTTTAAGTCCCAATTCCACAACATGGCTGCTTTATTCCCCAGAAGGGAGACTCTGAGCCTCAGCTTAGTGAGGTCTTTGCAGAGCTTTGTGAGATAAAGTGTCGGGAGCCGAAGAGAAGAGATCAGTAGCTACAGAGTTTGCTGCTCTTGTAGAGGACTCAGGCTCCACTCCCTTCATCCACATGGCAGCTCACAGCTGCCTGAGCAGCAGGGGCTCCAACCCTCTCTGGCCTCTATGAGCACCTGCACTCATATAGACAGACAGACACACGTACATATACACTCACACACTGCATGCATTAGGGCTGCTATCATAAAATATTATCAACTAATACAGTTAGCAAATAACAGGCATTTATTTGTAGAGGTTGGGACGGCCAAGACAAAGGTGCTGGCAGATTGGGTATCCGTGAAGTGCCCTCTTCCTGATGCAGATGGCCGGCTTCCATGACCTTGCACAGTGTTGTGTACAGAGAGGAGGAAAGCTCTCCTGTCTCCTCCATAGGGCACTGGTCCCATCACTGTGGCCCCAACCTCATGCTCCAATCTCCCAATGTTATCACATGGGGGCCTTTAGGAGAAGAACACAGTCTAGGAGTCACTTCTGCGTGTCTCTTTATACCTCCCAGCCCACCTGTGACTGCAACCATCATTGCAGCAACCAGATACGTCTCGCTGGAATTGGATGGTGCCCATTTTTCCTGCCTGCTGTACCGCTCACGTTCTGTCCCTTTTTAGAAGAAACTGACTGGTCCCTGTCCTAGTGCACATGCCAACAGTGCTCATGGAGACCAGAAGGGGGCACTGATCCTCCTGAAGCTGGAACCATCCTGTGGGTGCTGAGAACTGAACCTGAGTCTTCTGCGAGGGCAGTCAGTGTTCTTAACTACTGAGCATCTCCCCAGCCTGATGCAGCTTTCTGTTTCACTGCTGAATGACGGGAGCTAAATAGTTTATAAATAAAAGGTTATGACTGTGCTCGAGTAGAAGTGTGTGTGTGTGTGTGTGTGTGTGTGTGTGTGTGCGTGCGTGCGCGCTTGGGGAAGGAGGATAGGAGGAAGAGAGAGAGAGAGAAAGAGAGAGAGAGAGAGAGAGAAGGACAATATAGAGGGTTGGATTTGGCCCATGAGTTGTGCCTTATTATCTTTCATATTAAAGTGGCAAAGAAAAACAAAATGGATGCCTGACTTTGTAAACCTCATAGTCCTGTGTAAACCATTAAAGATGGATGGAGTAGGGCTTGGATGTAACTCAGTGTTAGAACACATGCTTAGTATGTGCAAGGCTCCGAGTTCCATCCCTAGCACCGAGCAGTGGCCAAAGCAAGTTGTGTAGGGCCTCAAACACTGCTGCAGAATTTTGACTTCACTCTTTGGCCACACAAAACACCAAATGAGCTCAGAGGGCTTACAGCAACTGCGGCCTGGACCAGGGTGTTTCACTCAGGGAAGACGAAATGTCCCCTTTTAGGGGTCCAGCACACAGCAATCCCCTCTCACTTCTGTAACACTCGGGTAAAGCTTCCAGGGTCCCACTCTGAATTGCATGAACAAGGCCACAGGCACCCTTGAGGCCAGATATATTTTAGAATTGATTCTGGGGTTCCATAAAGATAATGCCGTATGTATTACACACCCACAGGGTCTGGGCAGTATCTCATCATCACCCTCATCTCACACTAAACATATTAGTCATCTCAGTCCAGGGAAGGTCTGGGCCTTAAATGAGTAATCAAAAATCTTTTTAATCTCAGTGTTTGGATTTAAGAACTGCAGACGAAGGGCTGTGTACCTGGTTTGTATTATATATAGATTGCCTTTGGGTCCAAGGCTCCATCCCATGCCCTCAGTGACTGCATACAAGAAGTGCTCAATAAATGCCACCTAAACAATGAGCAGAGGAGAAAGGCTGCAGAGCCGGGTTCACTGAGTGGCTAAGAGGAGGCTGATGGGACATCCTGCTGGAGCTAATGGGGAGACTTACATGGCAGGATCAGGGTCTTGAGCTGTATCTTAGGGTGATAGGAAGCTGCGTTGGGTTTGTTAGACAGGTAGAACATCAAGGGGAAGAGGGATTGGAGGGCAAGGAGCTTATGTGACCATGTCAGAGGTTCCCGTGACAGTAAGATACAAAGTGTCTATGGATAAGGCAATGGATAAAAGTAACAATAGAAAAAAGCAGCACATACCACTTGAATAATAGTGTTTGAAGGTGAGATGTGGAATCTCAGCTTGACCCACAGTCCCTGTCTGAAGTGCTGAAGGGCAATGTTGAGATCAGCACACTGGAGCTCCACTGCTTGAAGGTACTCTATGGCCTTGAGAAGTCACTTAGCCCCCTTCCTATCCTCCCCGTGCCTTTGCCTCAGCTTCCTCTTTCACACCTACACTGCCAGGCTACTTTACAGAGGACAGGAGTGTTTGTAACCTAGAACAGTGCTTGACTCTTGGCTATGTCTCTGTTGTTTTATAAAAGTTGAATTCCTCAAAGGATCCGCCTTGCCCTCAGGAGAATTTCCACGCTCAGATCCTTCCTGGGGGAATGAGCAAGAGCTGAAATTCTACCTGAAGCTAATGAATGCCTGGAAAAGAGAGGACCACCTCAAGGCTGAAGGGGACAGGACATTCCTTCCCGTCTGGAAGCATCTATCTTACATTAAGGCACTTTTTTTATCCTTTGTCTTTTAATCCATTACTCGGTTGTAATGCTTTGCAGCAGCCTTGCAGCAGCCTTGCAGCATTACAGCATGCCAGGGCACCTGAAGAGAGAGCTTTGGAGAGGGCTGCCTGCAACACCAGCACTGATTCAGAGATTTGTATGAAAATGCAAAGTGGAAACAGTGTCGGGTTTACCAAGAGAGAAGTGGCCATTGCTGCCGCTGGCCTTCACAAGCAACCATGTGGGCTTCAGAGCAAACTCCAGTTTTTCCTACCAGGGATATTAGTCTGGTATGACATCATAAAGGCTCCTTCTTCAAATCAGGGCCCTGAAATACAGCTGGCAGCTTCTTTTCCTTCCTTCCTTCCTTCCTTCCTTCCTTCCTTCCTTCCTTCCTTCCTTCCTTCTTTCCTTCCTTCCTTGCTTCCTTCCTTCCCATTCATACGCTCTCTCCCTCTCCCTCCCTCCCTTGCTTTCTCCTCCCCTCCTTCCCCAACAGGGTCTCACGTAATTCAAGTTGGACTAGAACTCATTTTGTAGCTGAGAATGACCTTGAACTAAAGCTGTTTTATTCAGGGCTGGAGATAGAATCTAGGGCTTCATGCCTGTTAAGCAAGCAGTCTTCCTACTGAGCCACATCCCCAACAGAATCACTCACTGTTATTATTGCCTTTCCTTTTTTGTCTGTCCAGAACTCTATGGCTAGATCTTAGACATCCTTGTTAGCTTTAATAAAACTTCCCACTGTACAGCCTCACGGTTTAATAACCTCTAATCGTTCCCTTGATGCTCCTGAATCAGGTTGAGCCTCTTCATGCTGACATTGGATGACATCTCTGATATGTTAATGGATTTTGGCCCCCAGAGATCTCCCGATCAACATGTCTGTCTATTAACTGTCTCTCGGAGCAGCATTCACCTCCAAGTCCTCATTAAGATTCCGACTCTGGTGCTCTTCTGCCTGGAGTAACCTCTTCCCATGCATTTGCCCAGACAACTCATCATTGCCACCAAGACATGATTGCTGATATTCCAAGGAGCTCTCGTGATTTCATTCCCCACCCATCTTCTCTCTAAATTCTAACCATGCTGAGTTTGCCCCTCTTTTTGTCTTGAGGTTGCTAATTTTTGCATACATATTTTTATTTATACCACAGCTAGGCTAAAAGTGTTTTGCAAGTTGGGATCATTATTTTCATTCTAAGTTGAGTTTTTCTCAGTTTTCTGGTATACAGTTTTGGTATCTGGCAGGTGCACTGGCTGGCTGGACTTGCAAACGCTACCTTCAACATGAAAAACAAGGAAACTGGCCCAGTCAGCCAGAGTCTTCCTGTACTTTACTGATGACATCAACTTGAAACTTTTTCTAATCACATAAAATACTTTAAAATAAAATATGGTGAATTCCCATTAAAATCAAAACATAAAAAACCAAAGGTATAAACATTCATTATTATAGTTTTCAAATATCAACAATTATACTCAATCTCTAAAGAATGCAAGAACAAACATTTAGAACTACTGAGAGAATGTAGTATTGTCTAAGTCAAAAACTCTGGTCAAAAAGCACAGTGAGTAATCAGAAAGTACAACCAGGTAAGAGACCAGATTCACAAAAGCTGTGGTAGATATTACTGTAACTATGTAAAGAAACATTACATTTGTTTATGCTGTATTTGTTTAATCTAAAATGTGTGGCTGTTTCACCTGGCCTGCCTAAGGTACCTGATTGGTTTAATAAAAAGCTGAATGGCCAATAGTTTGGCAGTAAAGGGATATATGGGGCTGGTGGGCAGAGAGAATAAGTAGGAAAGAAGGAAAGGGATGGAAGAATGGAGGAGAACAAAATGGAGATGCCAGGGGCTAGACAGGCAATTGCCTGCCAGCTAGCTGGTCAGACACGGAGTGGGACATACAGAATAAAAGAAAGGTAAAAATCCCTGAGGCAAAACATAGATGAAGAGAAACAGGTTAAGTAATAAGAGCTAGTGGGGTGAGCACAAACTAAGACCGAGCATTCATGATTAATAAGTCTCCATATCATGATCGGGAGCTAGTGGGTAGCCCCCAAATATGCCTGCTACAAAGGGCAACAAAATTTGGACACGTTGCATACCTCCCTCCCAGCAACCGGCCTGGCGGCAGCGCGGCCACCAAACTGAGGAGGCGGAGCCGAGACGAGTTGGTACTGCACTCTTGACTCCTAGACCAGGTGTAAATTTTTGAAATTGAAGTAGGTCTACACAGTAGGAACCCATGTCTTTTCTTGTAAGTAAACCAGGGCGGATTAGGCGGTGGGTCTCGGAAAAGTTCATTGTTGAGGGCTTAAGAGATTTGAAACTATTTGGAGGCCAATGAGGCGAGCTCGGAGTCCATAGCATCTTTCTCTAAACCAGAGAACATGGGCAGCTTTCTGCCAGAGAGCGGGTGTTATGAGCTGCTCACCATCATAGGTAAAGGATTTGAGGACTTAATGACAGTGAATTTAGCCAGGTACAAGTCAACAGGAGAGTGAGTATGTGACAGTACGAAGGATCAACCTAGAAGCTTGTTTCAATGAGATGGTGACATTCTTGCAGGGGGAGCTTCATGTCTCTAAACTCTTCAGCCATCCCAATATAGTGCCATATCGAGCCACCTTCATCTCAGACAATGAGCTGTGGGTCGTCACATCATTCATGGCATATGGTTCTGCAAAGGATCTCATTGGCACACACTTCATGGACGGCATGAATGAACTGGCGATTGCATACATCCTGCAGGGGGTGCTGAAGGCTTTGGACTACATCCACCACAAGGGCTATGTGCACAGGAGTGTCAAGGCCAGCCACATTCTGATTTCTACGGATGGGAAGGTCTTCCTGTCCGGTCTACGCAGCAACCTCAGCATGATCAGCTACGGGGAGCGGCAGCGTGCAGTCCATGGTTTTCCAAAATACAGTGTCAAGGTCCTGCTGTGGCTCAGCCCAGAAGTTCTCCAGCAGAATCTTCAGGGTTATGATGCCAAGTCTGATATCTACAGTGTGGGGATCACAGCGTGTGAACTAGCTAATGGCCATGTCCCCTTCAAGGATATGCCTGCCACTCAGATGCTGCTAGAGAAGCTGAATGGCACAGTGCCCTGCCTCCTGGACACCAGCACCATCCCAGCCGAGGAACTGACTATGAGCCCCTCATGTTCCATTGCCAACCCTTGCCTGAACGACAGCCTGGCCGCTGGCAGCCTCCGGCCTTTCAGTGGTGACTCGCCTTCCCACCCGTACCACCGAACCTTCTCCCCCCACTTCCACCACTTTGTGGAGCAGTGCCTTCAGCGCAGCCCTGATGCAAGGTACTCTGCTGGCCCTCAGCTGAGTTTCTGGGGGATGGGGAGCTTGGGGTTTATACCCAGCAGGGAGGCCGGCTCTTAGGCAGAGATCTGGATTCCCAGAGGAGTGTGTGGCTCCACAGCAAGAAGAACCAGCTTTCTACTAAGAAGCCAGCCTGAGTGGCTTTGGCTGGTAGCTGTTGGGAGAGCTGAGGGAAGAGGAGGAGGGTCTTGGAGGAGAGGGTGAGTGTCAGGGTTTGGACAGCTGAGCCCAGGGGTCATACGAGAATGCCAGCACCCTCCTGAACCACTCCTTCTTCAAGCAGGTATGGAAGCGTTCCCCTGGTTCCTACCCTGCTGCTGCTCTGTGGTTCTAGGCACCCCCTCACTTCTGACCCCTTAGTGTGGGGGTAGGTGTTCTTGCTCTGCCTGATTGAACTAGAGGAATACCATGTTTCTGAAGCCCTAAGAGGCACTCACCTGCCTTTCCTTTTTGGCTCCAGGGCACCACGGGGCAGGAACCATGGTCTGGTAACTGAAGGTCCTGTGGTGTCCTGAGTTGTAGGATCTACCCTCCAACTTGTCTCTCTCCCTCAGATCAAGTGGCGTGCCTCGGAGGCCTTGCCCGAATTGCTTCGCCCTGTCACCCCTATCACCAACTTTGAGGGCAGCCAGACTCAGGATCACAGTGGACTCTTTGGCCTGGTGACAAACCTAGAAGACCTGGAGGTGGATGACTGGGAGTTCTGAGCCAATGCAGCCTGCATCCTCCAGTGGGGGTGGGGTGTGAGCCCTGGGGGCCCTTCCTGAGGATCAGCACCTACCTCTGGGTGCAGACTGGGTAGAAAGGACATTATGCTGGCAGAGCTGGCTGCCAGCTGCTTGAAAGGACATTCTGAAGAGACTTCACTGTTTTTGTGGCTTTTGAGTCACAGGGAGTCCCAGTCACCAGGGACTTGGAGAGACCGGAAAGCTGACATCCTGTTCTGTGAGCTCGGGGACCTCCTTAGAAGGAAGAGACACTGCTTTAGCCCCGAGGCTGAAGTCCAAGCCCAGAGCTTAACTCGAGGGACCCTACACTTCCTCTTCCCCGCACTTGCTCTCCTACCAGGCTGTTCCACTCATTTTCTGTGCCCCCAGATCCTGTAGGGCTAAACAGGGGACAAGTCCTAAGCATCCTGCCCCAGCCCTGTCCTGCCCTCAGGCATCTTCCCAGTTTCTGTCTTTAAGCGCCTCATCCCCACCTCTCTCTTGGGCCCTAACACCTGAAATCTCTTATCTCGCTATCTGTTACACTCCTTCCCAAGAATCCGCCAATGCCTCCTGCCAGCTGCTGCCTTGGTGCCTCCTCCAAGGACCATAAATGTCTTGCCTTGTCTGAGGGCTTGAGTAAATCTTATGTTGTGTTAGTTTCATTGTCAGAACAAATTAAAAATTTCAGAGTATGTTAAAAAAAAAAAGGGCAACAAAATTTGAAGTTGTCCATGGAGGAAAAGCCTGCATAGAATGCATGGTCTAATTAAAGAAAACCCACAAGACTTTGTGGAAGATAAGAGACCTGGTTAAGTAGGGAGATGTTCTGGTTTTGACTGGAAAACACATAGCAGGGAAGGTGGCTTTCCCCATATTAAACAATTAATTTAGTGTAGCATCATTCAAAATCCCAACATCAGGTTTATTGGACAGAGAACGCTTATATGATTCACCTGGAATATGAGTCTGCTTGAATAACCACACACACTTTGAATGCTGAGAAGATTAACAAGCGATGACTTGTCACCAAAACAGAATTATGTTAAAAATGGTGCAGGACTCATGGAGGGAAGACAAGATGAAAAGAACAACCAAACTGAGGAGAGCGATGCACAGATTTTGCTTTTCATGAAGTAGCAGGCCACGCCATTGGGAAAAGAATGCACCAGTCAACAAATGGACGGGGGACTGCTAACTCTACTTGGTCAAGAAGACTGCTTTACGATTCCCATCTGTGCTGCTGTCTCCAGGTTGCGCCTTCAGAGAGCTACCCAGCTCTCCACCCCTGGGCTTCCCTTGGATAGATTGTCTTTATGAACTACTTACATGGCTCCGGGACCTCTGTGCGTGGGTCAGGCCATAGCGGAAACCCAGAGGGGAACCACACAAGAGAGCTGGAGTTTCCGTGGGGTTCCCTCAGGCTAGCTGCTTCTCTAAAGGAAGGCCTCAGCTCCTGTCAGGGGGTGAACATTCTCCCACCTTCCCCCAACTCGCTTTGTGCCTTCAGACCTGTGTGGTATCTGTCTCCCCTCATTGTCATTCTTCCATGGAGATGTTTCTCTCAACTTTTCAACTTTCCTCTGGTACCTCATTTTGAGCTGAGCAGACCATGCATTTTCTGTTGTGGCCTACTGATACCATGTCATTAACAAACTTAAATTCTAGGAAGACAAAAGGTCTAAGCCTATTTTAAAATCTTTAAGAATATAAATATGTAATATATTTATAACCTTGGGTATGGAAAAGCTATTTTTGATTAAGATGTAAAACTTAAATTCCTAAGGGAAGGCACAGATGCATATTTTTAAACCAAAATGTCAAGCTTTTTTTTGGCATTTGTATGTATGTAGAGAGAGACTGAGAAACAGAGACAGAGAGACAGAGATGAGTATTCACATATATGAGGACATAATGTATGTGCAAGTGTGAGTACATGTGTAAGTATATGTGTGAAAGCCAGAAGTTGACATCGGGGGTCTTACATGGTTGCTTTTAACCTTACATATTGAGACAGGGTCTGTTGATGATCTTGCCCATTCAATTGGTCTCACTACCCAGCTAGCTCCAGAGAGCCTCTGCCTAGACCTCCGGAAGTGCTGTGGGACAGTGGTCTGTACCCTGTCAATTGTATTTTAATAAAATTCTGATTGACCAGTAGCCAGGCAGGAAACACAGGTGGGGCTACCAGGCAGGAAATATAGACAGGGCAATGAGAACAGGAGAATTCTGGGAAGAGGAAAGACTCAGTCTGCAATTGTCACCCAGACACAGAGGAAGCCAGACACAGAGTAAGCAAGATGTGACTGCCTCGCTGAAAAAGATACCAAGCCATGTGGCTAACACAGACAAGAATTATGGGCTAATATAAGTTATAAGAGTTAATAAGAAGCCTGAGCTACTAGGCCAACCAGTTTATAATTAATGCAGGCCTCTGTGTGTTTATTTGGGACTAAACAGATGCAGGACCTGGTGGGACAGAAAATTTGGTCAACAAAAAGGACTGCAATTACTGGGAGGGGGGCTGTCATGCTCACAAAGCAATTACATGGGTTCTGAAGATGCAAATTCCAGTCTCACAATTGCATAGTGAATGCTTCGCCACCTCAGCCATCTCCTCAACTCCAAATGTCAAACATTTGAATAATGAGACACCAATGAACTAAGTTAAAAATAAAGCAGAGATAAATGTTTGAAAGTTTTAATAAAGTATTACTGCCTAAATGGCACAAAGATCAATTTTAAATTATAAATATTGAAAGCAGGAGAATGACCCCCCAACACTGTCAAGGGTGAACTTGCCAAGGCATTGCTGGAGAGCTCACTCTGGTGGTGAGGACAAGGAGAGCTGGTGGGCTCACCAACCCTGCAACTCCCCAGGCCCAGCACCAGGGTTATGTACTGGTCCAGCCCAACATCCACCCCATCTGTGGTCTGCTGGAGCACATGAAGGGACGGTAAACCCAAAGCTTCAGGATTTTCACAACACAGGGCAACAGTGGGATGACTAAGAGGAGATCCAGCGAGGGCCCAGCATCGATGAATGCATGGCAGAAACCAGAGACCTCGAACTAGACCAGTGACTTCTTACAAGTGAAGATGTGTGGACAAAAGGGTTTGCTGCAGGACTCACTGTGTCACACTGCAGCTTCCATGCCAAGATTGTTCCCCCTATTTTAAAATTTTCTTTTTTCTCTTAAATCTAATTGGGGGTGGGGCGCAAGGGCAGAGGGCAGATATGCAGGGATGGGAAATGAATGGGATTGAGAAGCATGATACGAAAGACACAAAGACGAAATAAAAAGAAAGTTAAAATTATAATATATAATGTAAATATATTTTAATTATTTAAATATATTTAATTATTATATACTAATTATATATTAACTATAAAATAAAATAATATATTTTTGAAATATCTGTATCCTTATATATATCTTATATATAAACTATATGGAATGTATTTTGTTTATGTATTCATTCATTCATTCATTCATTCATTTGCTTGGTTTTTTTTTTTTTCAGGCAGAATCTCAAGTCGCCCAGGCTGACTTTAATCATGTAGCCATGGAAAACCTTGAACTTCTGCTCTTTCTGCCTCCAGCGCCCAAATACTAGGATTACAGGTATTATGCCACCATCCCTGACTTTAGGAAAGTATTTTAAAACATACTTATGATTTAAAATAAAAAGTAAATAAATAGATTCACTTTCAAAAGACATGCTATTAGAAAATTGGACAAGCATAGGAACTGGCCCTTCCCAGGAGCAACACAATTAGAATAGAGACTACATTAATAGTACAAGAGTAGCAAGTAAATTAACCTGAGATATTATTTTGATTCTCACACAGAAGGCTTTTGAAATTGGTCATGTCAGGGACTGCTAAGCAGGTAAGGATATAGGCTCTGTCCCTATTTTTGAGGACAATATGGCAGTGTCTGTAGAAATCATTAATAGGCATTCCTTATGACCCCATGGTTTGTCATCTGCTGTGAATAAAAATGTGAGTATTTACTCAAAAAGGCATGTACTCGGATGTTTGTTATAGATCATTGACTGTAGCAGGGAGAAAAAGAGACCTTGAGAGAATCCAAATGTGAACTTCTCGGAGCGTGAGTGGCAATTCATACCACAGATAACACACAGTAGCTTAAAAGTCAACTAGAAATATGCATATTCCGATCCAGACCTGCTTCTGATAAGTTCTCCTGAGTGAGCATCCTTTCAAGTTCAGGGCATTACGTATGCTCCATGTACCTTCAGAATGTAAGGGAACACACACAATGTTAAAGCACACCCACAAGGCTGATATCAACTGCTGCCTTCACGTGGGGAATGCAGGTCAATTAGTCCAAGCCTGCCAGGTAGCTGCATGTGCAGCTGAGTTCCGACACTTAGAAAATATTGTCTGGTTGTTTTCTCTTCCCTATATTGACCTATGAGACGGTGCAGAACTGAAACCCTCCAATGCCTGGATAGCCCAAAAGGGCAGGCAAAGAAGAGCTCACTTGCATTTGTCAGGGCATGAACGAACAAGCCACATATGTTCACTGTTAAAACAGAAAAACGTACATTCGCATACGCTGACTGTCAGTGGGTAAACAAAGGATGCCTTTCTGGATTCCACCAGAAGATCAAATAGCTCTGGTCTGTGAAAACAAGAAAGAAAAGAAAACCAAGATGTGGGGCCCGATGAACGAGGGCTTTGAGAACAGAGAGACTTGTGACCCAGCGGTCTGTTTCCAAGCTTCATCTTTAGAGGCCAGGCTCTGTGGACTGACCAGGCTAGCATGGATTAGGGATCTGGGTACTAGAATACCAAGCCTGGAACCCAGCCTCCAAGCTGAGAGACTGAATATACGTAAAGACTGTATGTGACAGGAATTGTGGGAACCTGCTACCCCACATCCTCACCAGTTCCTCGGGACTTATGTTGACTGCCAAGTCCCCCCTTTCCCATTACCTCCACTATTCTCAATTGAGGACCAACTAGAGAATCCAAATGTACCCTCTACACAAACCATATAGGATGTTTCCCTTCCAGTCAGTCTGCCACCAGGCCATGGTAACAACCTCCCAGCAGAGTGTACCTGAAGTCATTCTCTCTCTCCCTCCCCGTCCCCCCCCCACAAACCTCCACATCCACCCCAGAGGCTTTCACCCACCCACTCCTGCCTTTCACTCTCTGCTGAAAGCTTGTGGTGGCAACTGACTCCCCTGGGGTATAGTCAGCTGCAGCATGCACTGCCTCCCTTCTCAGTGGTCTTTGCTTAGTCCCTCAAGGCCCATATTTCAACCAGCACACGCTTAGTATTGTGATTTATAGATGTGATTTCATTTTTAAGAAAAAATCCTACAGCTTGAGTTTTTAGACCATCAATGTACATAAGGGCG